CGAGTGAGAAACACACACACACACACACTTCCCCACATCACAAACGGTCTGACACTTAAAACAGTCTTACCGAGGTTTTTCAGCATGGACAGCGGGAGAATGATGCCGATGGACACAAACAGCACCACGTAATTCCCGTTCAGGTACCATTCGCTGCACAATAACGGGTGTAATAAATCAGGGTTATTATCAATACGCTTTAATCTACACAGGTGAAACTCGAAAAATTAGAATATCGTGCAAAAGTTCATTTATTTCAGTAATTCAACTTAAAAGGTGAAACTAATATATTATATAGACGCATTACATGCAAAGTGAGATATTTCAAGCCTTTATTTATTATAATTTTGATGATTATGGCTTACAGCTTATGAAAACCTTTTCACAATATTCTAATTTTGAATTTGGGGTTTTCATAAGCTGTAAGCCATAATCATCACAATTATAACAAATAAAGGCTTGAAATATCTCACTTTGCATGTAATGAGTCTATATAATATATTAGTTTCACCTTTTAAGTTGAATTACTGAAATAAATGAACTTTTGCTCGATATTTTCGAGTTTCACCTGTACATGGTTCGTACAGATACTGTAAAATGTAATTCCAGGGCTTTCAAGAACTATTCACGCACTACTTCTTTGGTTTTCAAGGACTACAATCCGAGATCTCACCTATCAAACAATATCTTTATTATCTTTCAACTTCTAAAAAAGGGTAAATAGATCAATAAAAATAAACTAAATAAAACAAAATGGTACAAATAAAGTGCAGCACATGCAATGACTGAGGTATCTTTAACCATTGAAAGATACTATGACAAAGATATTGCCTTGTTCAAACTAATTTTTCTCTCTTATGAATGACCTGAATAATGAAAGCTGTATCATATACTGGAAATATGAGCAATTTCACGCTCATAGCCATTCGAAATGGCTCTATAAATATATATCAGATAGGCAGATAAGTTAAACACTAATTTTGCATATATTGTCTTTCAATAATTCATGCACTTTTCGAAGTACCTTTTCATAAATATGTCTGTTTTCAAGGGTTTTCCAGGACTTAAATTTCAAAAAGTCACTTCAAGTACTTTGTACGAACCCTGTATAAAGACACAAACACTCATTCAACATCACTGAGACTTACCCAGAGCTCTCCTCCAGCCCGAGGAACGCACGGATCACCTCTGGCAGCTCGTATTTGACTATGAACAGGTAGCTGGACATGGCTGAAGACAAACCAAACACATTCATGTAAGCCTTGATGTTGTTGTTTCTCTACTAGAACAGGTTTTCCTGCTTGAATGTTGATTATTCTCCTCATATCCTCCATTGTTGCGGCTCCTCTCTTCCCAGTCTGTCAGTAACGCTCTGTTTACTTCCTGTCTCTATGAAGCCCCTCCTTCTGAAAAGCACACTGTGCTCTGATTGGTCGGCTGGAGCAGTGTGTTGTGATTGGTCGAGTGCTTCAAGTGTGTTTGGGAAATGTCCCGCCCCTTCCCATAACCGCCCGTTTCAACCATAGACCTTAAAAAAATATGTTCGTAGTGTGTGTGAGTCACCCGTAGTGTTTCTAAGGAGCATTTTTGAAGCCCAAAGTGGGCGGAGCCGGCCGTCGCCATCTTAGCGTCACGTCACCTCAGCTAATCCGCCTCGCTGCGCATTTTCGTTTATCCGGGAGTGACGCACGGGCGTCACTCCCGGATAAACGAAAATGCGCAGCGAGGCGGATTAGCTGAGGTGACGTGACGCTAACAGACAGCTGACAAACGGCTAGTAGTGACATCAGCGGCAATCCACCTGTCACTCAAGTAGCCACGCCCTTAATTATGCAGAACTTTAAGGCTTAATATAATTTAAACGGATGAGTTATAAAAAAATTCACCCCCCTCACAGTCGTCATGAAGGGCAAAATTAGCTATATAGACCAAAACCACTTTTTGCACCAGACTGTAAACTATTTTTTTTCTGCTGTAAAGTTGGGCATTTTAACATGGAGGTCTATGGGATTGACTCTCTTTTGCAGCCGGTCTCTAGTGGCCAGTCGATGAACTGCAGTTTACGTCACTTCAGTGTTGGTTTCAAGAGAGAGAGGAAGGTTTCGGCTTGGTTTCAACACACTACTAACTAACTCAACCAGGCCCCGCCCCTTTATTCTGCGTATTAATTATTATAATGAGGAATATTGTGAAACTCAAGACTACAATGGAGGCGTTTCAGGGAGTTCAGAAACAGTGACACTGATATAGAGAATAACTCCCGCTGGAGGGACGTTTTCATGCTCAAACAGCAACAACACACACTAAAGAACGATTAAGACGGAAAACAGCACAATAGGTGCTCTTTAAAGATAACAACTTTACCTCCTATGTTCTGCAGAGTTATAGATCCAAATGCTGCCATTTTTCCCGGCCATCCAAACGCTCTTTCTCCGAGCTTCTCGTAGATCAGCGATCCTGCAGCCAGAGGATATTACCGCATCAACTGCATGTTTCATATGTAAACGTGTGTTTTTCAATCTCTCGACACACTCACCTCCTTCTTTGGCCGTCACGAGTAACAGGTGAACGGAGTACAGCGACAGGATAGCGATTCCCAGCAGGAGGATTCTGGGAAAACATCGAGAAAAGTCAGCACTCTTCCTGTAACCTTTACTAAAAATCATGAGTTAAAACTTGTGCAAGTCAGGCGATATATATCATCTTATATCGCCTGTTAAGGAACATGCTGCGACATTAACTGAGGTTTATTTTTGAAAGGTTTCTAAAAGCAGAGTGCACATATACATGTCTGACTGACCGCACACACAGCTAATGCTAACGAGCCCGTGCTAAAGGTCCTCTCAAAATAAGGTCAGTGGTCAAAAGAAAAACATGTTATCTATGGATGTTTTATTTTTGAATTGTTGTGCATTCCATTATCTTTTATTAATCTTTTATCAAACTGACCCTAACTGGTTTTAATGGTAATAAAAAAACGGAATATACTGCATTTAGTTTTGCGTTTATGAAAACACTATTTCTGAATGTTGAAAATATTTTTTAAATGTTTTAAAATGTGTTTTCTTGGTTATAAGAACGTTAAAGGAACATTAATAATTCTTCAAACATTATGAAACGTTACTTTTGAATGTTCTCTGAATGTTCTGAAACAAGTAGTAACATTTAAAAAAAATGTTAGACGAACATCAAACTACAACAATGTATATTGTTTTTGTGAATATTAATAAAGCAGGGTAACTTTGGTAACCAGCAGGGCTTTTGTGAAGTGTAGGTGCTGTAAAACTACTAGGCGTGTAACAATCCCCTCAATGTCACGATTCGATACATATCACGATACTGAAGTCACGATACAATATTATTGCGATACTCCAAGACATATGATAAAAGTTTAACAAAAAATTAAATTTGGTATTACATTGTGATTGTAAATGAATAGGCTTGGACTTGGTGCTGGTGACACCAGAATACAAACATTCATGATTCTGGAGCTTTTATGCTTGCACTCTTTCACTGACTAGATATATTTAAAATAATGTAGGCCACTTTTTACGGGTAACATAAGACATTCCCCCATTGCATTATTCAACATTATATATAGTAGTTTAATGTCGTACTGACACTAAAACTCTGTAAACTTGTTTTTCACACAGTAATTTTCACTTTGTGTGAACTATACACGATACATTTTGTTGCATTTTTGTATTGCGATATATTGTCACACCCCTAAAAACTACTGTCACATCTAATTCACGCACAGCTGGAGCTGTAGACACACTGAAAGATAGAGAGAGGGATCTTCAGATTGGGTTAATGGTGGTTGGGTCACACGACACCAGCCTCACCGAACAGAAATAACCGTCTGACATGAGCAGCAGAGAATGAAGAGAGATGCGGGTCGAGAGACACTCAGGTGACCGTTAGCGCTGAAGGTGTGTGTTCGACTTTCCTCAAGCTGTGGCGGGTCAGTGGGACAGCTGACTGCTGTCAGTCTCACACACACACACACACTTTAACCCCTCACTGAACAGCAGACGTGAGCCGTTGAGCTAAATATAGCCATATAGTTCATTTGCGATGCGTGCGGTGTAGCATGTCACAGACACCAGCTCTGGCCCTGAGAAACCCTGCTGTCCCGACACCGAGATCGCCAGAACATTCTTTGATAAGATCCTCTCAACGGGTTTCTGGAAGCACCACATTTGCTACAAACAAGGCCGTAGCACGTATTACTTTTGAAACCATCATAATAAGTAAATTTAGATAAGTAGATAAATAAGTACATAAACAATGGTTTCAAAAGTTTAAGTGTGGCCTTACTGTAAAAAAAAAATAATCACAAAAAGTGTGATATTATTGATATAATATATATATGTTATATATTAAAAACAACACTTTTAGTTGTTGTTTTGTATAATATTGTTTTGTTGTGTATAACACACATATATACACATACATATATATATATATTAGGGCTGTCAAATGATTAATCACATCCAAAATAAAAGTTATTTTTACATAATATATGTGGGTGCACTGTGTATAATTATTTTATATATATAAATACACACACATGCTTGTATATATTTAAGAAATATTTTCATGTATATACTGTATATAGATTTATATATAATTTATATTATATATAAATAATATTTTTTTCTTAAATATACATGCATGTGTGTGTATTTATATATATACAAAATAATTATACACAGTGCACCCACATATATTATGTAAAAAAAACTTTTATTTTGGATGTGATTAATCGTGATTAATCATTTGACAGCCCTAATATATATATATATATATATATATATATATATATATATATATATATATATATATATATATATATATATATATATATATATATATATATATATATATATATTAAATATATCCGGTATTTCCAGTTGTATGTACATCATTTTTGGGTGGGTATTTATATATATATATATATATATATTAAATATATCCAGTATTTCCAGTTGTATGTACATCATTTTTGGGTGGGTATTTGCATATATATATATATATATATATCTAGCGCCTACTTTATAACATCTACATTTTAGTGGTTGAAAGTTCCATCACCTAATTAATATTCAAGAGCCAATTTATTATTATCATTATTTAATATTCATGAGCAAAGCTGATAAATTCAACAACACGTCCCTCCCACTTCTCAGATGACAGGGCACAAACACTCACATGAACAGTACGATGCCGGTGTTGGCCATGGCGAAGGACAGTCCCAGAATCCCACTGCCCATGATGGCGTTACTGAGGTTAAAGACGGACATCCCAAACGACGCGTGACCCGGGTGCTGCGAAACAGAGGGAAAAGAGGGTTAATCAACAGCTCGAGAGACAGAATCAATATATGCTAATGTGTTTCAGAACTAGAATATTACATATTCTTCATGATATTCCTCATATTTCTTCTTCTTCATCATCCCGTTGGTGAGAAACTTCTGACTCTCTGCGTCCTCTTCATCCAGAAACTGGCTGTAATCGGCAACACAAACACGTTACGTCAAGACAACATTATATAGGATCTCATTTCAGAATCAGTATCAGCTTTTATTGCCAAGTACAACATGTACAAGGAACTTGTCCTGGTGCACAGGTGCATAAAAAATAAATTAAAACAAGGGATAAAAATATTAATAAAAATAGACTTTAACTGTACATTAAACTGTAGTATTTCTTTACTGTTACATGATGAATCAGTGCACGAGTTTGTCCACATACTGTCATCATTTCCCATCAGACTGTGTGTCACAACGTTCTACATCTGGACATCAAACAGCGTCAGGGTTAAACACACACAACGGCGACTCTGACCTGTTGATAGTGGCTTTCTCTGAATCGATGGGCTCTGTGTCTCGATCATCCACACTGCTCTCGTCGTCCGCCTCAGTGTTCACGTTCTTCAGCTCCATGCGGTCCATGTCTACAGCCGTGAGGAACGATTCGTCTCCGGGAAAAGAGCTGGAAACACAACCGGGGAAGTTTGGTTAGAGCTGGAATCTACAGCAAGCTGGCGAAAATGTTCATTTTGAGCTAACGTTCCCATTAAGTTATTTTAAGTCCCTGTAAAGGCAATTCAATTTTTTTTTTTAGAAATGTTAGAAATGTATTGCTAAAACACATTACAACGACTGTGAACTGTGAAGTACTGAATTGTGGAGTTAGACCGTTAAACAGTTTTTCAACGTTGCTGTGTTCAGGATTTTTGGGCGGGGCTAAAACGGTAGCTCCACCCCTCCTGTAGATGATGCACTGGAGCCACTGAGGCTGGCCCCGCCCCTAACAATGAGCACATTCGCATCAGTTCGCCTCTCAATCGCGTTACTACAGCCTACAGTTTGCAAGCTAGCTTTGCCTTTGTCACGGAAATGAGTATTCCCTGGATGCGATCACTTACAAAACAGATCCGTGTCCTTATTTAAATTTCCGAAAAACGATCCTATCAAGAAGAGATGGATTAATATTGTGAAGAGCCACCTTGATGGAGAGCTGAGGATCACCGCCAACACCCGCCTCTGTAGTGATCATTTTACACGGGATAGTTATATAAACTTTCGTCGGAGACAACTGGGATTCACTGATTACTGGTACTGTTACTGGTGAATGGGCCGAACTGACTATCTCCCGTCCCGAAAGCAGTTTCACCTGATATCAGCGTCGACAGCTTTCCCGCGAGTGGGCGTGGTTTCAGCACAGCTGTGGACACGCCCCCAGTGGGCACGCCCCCCCCCCAGTGGACACGCCCCCAGTGGACACCCCCCCAGTGGACACACCCCCAGCGTTTGAGAGCAGAGAATAATGCTAATTTTTTCAAGGTTTTGATAGCTTATTTTATTTACTTGGCGGCTTTTTTATCATTCAAATTTGTCTGGGTGGCTAATAACACATTTTTCTGTGGCGTGACAAACTCAGAACACGTACTTTTTTAATGTTTTCTGAACATGTTCTGTTGGTTATGTGAACGCTCTATCTTATCATTCCTCAAACATAATGGGAACGTTACTTTTTACTATTTAATGTTCTCTGAACGTTCAAAAACAAGCAGTAACACTTAAAAAATGTTAAACAAAAAACGTTCAGAAAAAACGTTCCATGTATAAATGTTTTAGTGCTAACGTTTTGAGAACATTATTAAAGACCAGATAACTTAAAGTAACTGGAAGAACGTTTGTTCATAACTTTGAGAGAGCCTTTCCAGAACGTTCCCTGTTAACCGGGAAGAAGCTCTACACATCATTCCCTTTAGTCTTTATGACTTTTTTAAATCATAAAGAATTAGTAAATGTTCCTAAACTCCTTAGTTTATGACAAGTGACCATGAACTGATCCTGCTAAACAAGTCAATATAACAACATTCAGAGCCAAATGTATTGATTTAATCCCTGAACTTGAGATAAATCCATCCTGGTGTTTTCTTCCCAACAGTTTAAAGGTTGGTTGGATTTAAATGTATCGCCACATCAGCTTCACAGACTGATTCAACAAACATCAATCATAAAAAAAGACTAAAAATTATGTATATCAACTCAATTGAAGATACTTTAAGAGTATTTTGAGACAAATTGAGTCCATCATACAAAATAAGTCCTTTAAAGTTTGTCCTGATAAAAACTGGACAGCCAAAAAACACATTTGTGATTTTCATGCAAAACATCTTCCAAAAAGCCCAAATAAACCCATGCATTTGGGCCATTTTGCATTTTTATGGACACAATAGTGGATATTGATAAGACGGTAGTACAGGTACAATAATCCTGGAAACCGCAGTACACAAATTGGCCTGTTGACGGGTTTGAACCTACAGTTTTTAGATATTTATCACTGCGATCGCACACGTCACTGTGGCCCGATTCAGGATTTATTCCCTGTTGAGAGTTGCTGTAGTTCTCAGTGTTTTGCTCCAGGTCCACATAAAGGGTGTGTTTGTTCAATGTTTGGGTTGAGGACTCATGTATCTGTGCGTCTGATCCGCTCCATGACGCATGAACTCTGGAATCAGACGCGTTTAGCGCCGTTTCAGCACACACCTGTTATTAGCGCACAACACTCACTGGCCTCAGGTCAGCTATTTCCAGCCCATGTTAGGCACAATCCGTTCTGAAAACCATTTCCAATGAGACGGAGAGCATTGCATAAGACAAGTTCATAAGCCAAAACACAGCCAAAACCATTCTTGAACCCAATTACCCACAACCCCACCAACACAAAGCCCTCATTGATATATTCATAAATGTGGCCAGAGAGACTGAGAACTATAGACTCATGGAAAGCTGAAAATATTCCACAGGTCTCATTCTGGCCCACAGGACTGGGAAGCTTCTCTTGCACACAGATGTGGTACGTTACTGTGTTACTAATGCATATAGACAGTGGCTTACTGCTTTTATAAAACACTGGCAACAGCAAAAATCAGAATAAACACTTCTCCAATGTAATGTACTTTCTTTAATCCAACTATGAATGTGCAAATGTTCTTCCAGTAACGTTAATAGACGTTTGTTCAAAGTTATCTGGTCTTTATTAACGTTCTCAAAACACTAGCACAAAAAAAGTTATTCATACATCGCTTATGGGACGTTTTTTTTCTGAAACATTGTAGTTGCACTTTCGTATAAGAAATTGTATGTTTCTACTTGTTTCAGAACTTCCGATAAAGTTTGAAGAACGATACATTGGAATGTTCTTTAATGTTCTTTTACTTTTCAGAAAAAACATTTTCATAACTTAATGGGAACGTTATATGTTTGTTAGCTGTGGTTGTTTATCTGTATTTTACAACAACGCATCTCATCCAATCAGAAATTAGAGTCTGAACTATCCGTTTTATAGTTTTAGTTTCACTGTTTTGAGTTTCATAACGTGAAGCTGTTTAATTCATTTCATATAAATAATCTGATACTTTGTATCCATCGAGTTCAAAATAAGAACAATCGTTTAAATTAATGGGTTATAAATAATAGGGATTGCCAGATGATTATATTCATATTTCCCTCATTTATGTGTAAAAGATATTGCTAAATGAATAAACAGTAATGTAAATAACATTCCCGTATATTAAAATGACTCATACCATGATAGAAGTTTTTGGTTAAGCATTTAAACTAAGCATTTACATACATTTTATGTGACTTCAGCTGTCAAGACATCAAGAATAACAAACTTCAGCCTCGAAAAACCAGACTAACCAGTAAAAAAAAGGTTGACTCAACCAACATACCCAGCAAGACACTAACTAATGCAACCACTCCTTAAACAGATCTGACATTCTCATAACACACGACTTTACTCGCAGCTCTCGACACAATAAAACACTTTTAGATTTACGACCAGAAGCAGAACTAGAAAAACAGTAGACGGCGCACTTCAATTGTTCGTCCTTGACAGCAAATAAAAGAAAAGGAGAACAAATGGAAACCTCAAATGTTTCTCCTGTAATCTCACGCCTCTCCTCGCCTTCAGAAGCATTTGGAAATAACAACGAAATAAACTAAACCATTTAAACCAGTCTGTTAACATGCAGTCCAAGTGAAACCTGTGAGGAGTGGCTTTAAACCGCTTTGTTCACTGGAGTAGAAAATACCATTTCATTTCGACACTTAATTCAACGACTTAAATTGAATTAACTGCAGTTATAACATTTACTCTAAAACTGTTTCTACGACAATTTGTTTTTCAGTGTCAACAAGCCGTTCTGGTGAATTTCTCCAGCAGCTGGAGTTGACCTGAGCGCTTTACGACACGAGAAACACTCGCTCTTCAAAGAGAATGTCTGTGTTTGTGCTTCAACCAGCCGGCTGGATCTGACACAGACCACACACACACACACACACACACACACACACACAAAACTCCAGCAATGAGCAACCAAATGCAAAAACTCACACTTTTAACAGATCTCCTCTAGCTTTAACCCAGGTTATTATCTATTAATGGTGGTCTGGTTACTCACAATGAGAGCCGGTGGGACGCAGGACACTTGATGTGCTCACAGAACAGGGATGAGCTTCGTTTTAGGAGGTGAGGTGAGTGGCAGCTTTAAAGAGCATTGGGAGGGCCTGACTCGGCCAATCAGGACGCTCCGATTCTCAAGCGCTCCGCGTGAAGCTCCGCCTCCCCCCACTCCCCTCCACCTGCGTCACTGAAGGGCACACGGGGTTCGAGATAAGCGGCAGACGCGTTGCATCAACTTCTGTTTGCACTGGGGCAAGAATCTGGGGTCGCTCGCCCTCGCGGACGCAGACATTGAAAAATCTCGCTCTCGAACGCCAAACCAGCAGCCGCCAATCTGCATTCGCTACTGATGCCATGTGCAAACACACACACACACACCCAGAGATGAACAGTGATGCCATGTGCTAACACACACACACACACACACACACACACACAAACCCAGAGAGGAACAGTAATGCCATGTGCAAACACACACACACACACACACACACACAAACCCAGAGATGAACAGTGATCCCATGTGCTAACACACACACACACACAAACCCAGAGAGGAACAGTGATGCCATGTGCAAACACACACACACACACACACACAAACCCAGAGAGGAACAGTGATGCCATGTGCAAACACACACACACACACACACAAACCCAGAGATGAACAGTGATGCCATGTGCAAACACACACACACACACACACAAACCCAGAGATGAACAGTGATGCCATGTGCAAACACACACACACACACACACACACACACACACACACACACACACAAACCCAGAGATGAACAGTGATGCCATGTGCAAACACACACACACACACACACACACACACACACACACACACACACACACACACACACACACACACACACACACACACACACACACACACACACACACAAACCCAGAGATGAACAGTGATGCCATGTGCAAACACACACACACACACACACACAAACCCAGAGATGAACAGTGATGCCATGTGCAAACACACACACACACAAACCCAGAGATGAACAGTGATGCCATGTGCAAACACACACACACACACACACACACACACACAAACCCAGAGATGAACAGTGATGCCATGTGCAAACACACACACACACACACACACACACACAAACCCAGAGATGAACAGTGATGCCATGTGCAAACACACACACACACACACACAAACTCAGAGATGAACAGTGATGCCATGTGCAAACACACACACACACACAAACCCAGAGATGAACAGTGATGCCATGTGCAAACACACACACACACACACACACACACACACACACCCAGAGATGAACAGTGATGCCATGTGCAAACACACACACACACACACACACACACACACACACACACACACACACACACACACACACACACACACACACACAAACTCAGAGATGAACAGTGATGCCATGTGCAAACACACACACACACACACACACACACACTTACACACACACACACACACACACACACACACACACACACACACACACACACACACACAACCCCAGAGATGAACAGTGATGCCATGTGAAAACACACACACACACACAAAAACCCAGAGATGAACAGTGATGCCATGTGCAAACACACACACACACACACACACACACACAAACCCAGAGATGAACAGTGATGCCATGTGCAAACACACACACACACACACACACACACACACACAAACCCAGAGATGAACAGTGATGCCATGTGCAAACACACACACACACACACACACAAAAACCCAGAGATGAACACTGATGCCATGTGCAAACACACACACAAACCCAGAGATGAACAGTGATGCAATGTGCAAACACAAACACACACACACACACACACACACAAACCCAGAGATGAACTGAAACTACATTCAACTCCGATCAGAAATTCTGAAGCCACAACCAGACCACCTATTGGCCAATTACCAAATCCACTTGACAGATTAAAAGATGTGCAATTATTGGTGAATTTTGTAAATATTGTGTAAAACATAAAAAAAATGTGTAATGTAGTTCTAGATATATCAGATACTAACACACTATATATCTCTAGATATCAATATAGGCCATTGAAAAAATCCATTAGTGCCAATTGAAATACTGAAAACTAACATACATCCAGGTTGTAAAGATTACTGGAGTCCGTTTTACAAGAAAACACCATTTCAGTTTGTCTACCACAACATTTCACGTTTAATTCAATGTATTACTTACATTGTAGTAGCGAAAATTGTTTCTACACCAAATTTCATTGTAGAATTAGTCTTTTAACAGCTGCACAGTGCTAAACTTATAACTGGCGAAATCACCTTGGAGAAACTCTGGGTGTATGATGGTCAAGTCACCTTTATTTCTATAGCGCTTTATACAATACAGATCGTTTCAAAGCAGCTTTACAGTGAAAATAATGCAAACAGAATATTTAGTAGTTTCCATCTCCGGAAAGTCTAACCAACAAACCTTCTGAGTCTTGAGCTATAACCAATGCAGCACGTCACACTACACAAATAATCCCAGTCAATATGATGCATTGGCCACCCAAAAAAAATGACTAATTATTGACATTGACCTGATTCACCCACGAGTAAGAGTCCAATAATCAATCACCTGCGTTTGCGTGTCGTCACCAGTGTTGGGGAAAGTTACGTTTAAAGTAATGCATTACAATATTGCGTTACTCCCCAAAAAAGTTGCTAATTGCGTTACTTAGTTACTTTTTTAATAAAAAGTAATGCGTTAAATGACTTTTGTATTACTTTTTGTCACCTGGGCTGGGCTTGCTTTTTTGTTTTTTAATAACAACAAAAAAAAGATATATTTTTGGCAAATGTTAAGGCCCTTACACACCAAAAGTAATAAATGCAAAGAAATGCATGTTTACTCCTGTACAGTAGAGGGCGCCGCTCAAACAAACCTTTCAGCCGTTCTGGATTAAAGAACAATAGGATACAGGAGAAGGAAGTTCAACACGCTTATTTCTAAATCTAATCTTGAGTACATTTTGCTTGTTAGTAAAGTTGAATTAGATCGTTGAAGGTTAGCAGCATTGATTAATAAAGTGACATAAAATATATGTGTGTAATTTAATATAGTTAATTATAAAAGTTTTGCATAAAATTCTGAGATTGCTTTTTACTGTTTTTATTCGTTTTGAGGAATGCTGAATGTTTTCGTGCAAGTGAGATGAGTTTTGCATGTTCATATTTAGTCTAAAACTACAATAACCATCATGTTATCACCACACACACACACACACACACTTTATTTCTCTCAACATGAGAGTTCTCAGTCAATACATGTGAAAAAGTAACTAGCGTTACTTATTTGAAAAAGTAACTCAGATATTTTGTTGCAAATTGAAAAAGTAATGCGTTACATTACTAGTTGCTTGCAAAAGTAATCTGATTACATAACTGAAGTTACTTGTAATGAGTTACCCCCAACACTGGTCGCCACATATTATTGACTAGTCATAGTAAAAAGTTAATTCTTACTGTCTGGATGCAGGTGCTCCAATCTCAAGGAGAAAGAGTCTTCCTGTGCCGAGAGCTCTTTCCTTATACGGAGACACGTCCACACACACTACACACACTCTACACACACATACTCTACACACACATACTCTACACACACATACTCTACACACACATACTCTACACACACATACTCTACACACACATACTCTACACACACATACTCTACACACACATACTCTACACACACATACTCTACACACTCACACTCTACACACACTCACACTCTACACACACTCACACTCTACACACACTCACACTCTACACACACTCACACTCTACACACACTCACACTCTACACACACTCACACTCTACACACTCTACACACACTCACACTCTACACACACTCACACTCTACACACACTCACACTCTACACACACTCACACTCTACACACACTCACACTCTACACACACTCTACACACACTCTACACACACTCTACACACACTCTACACACACTCTACACACACACTCTACACACACACTCTACACACACACTCTACACACACACTCTACACACACACACTCTACACACACACACTCTACACACACACTCTACACACACACTCTACACACACACTCTACACACACACTCTACACACACACTCTACACACACACTCTACACACTCTACACACACACACTCTACACACACACTCTACACACACACTCTACACACACACAACACCACGAGCCAATCAGCAGCTCTGGCTCAAGGGTTAAACACACAACGGTCCACAGAAACACAACACCTCAACATCACACTCAGAGTATTAGAATATTAAAAAAGTAGAAATAAACTCAAAACTCAAAATAAATCCACATATTTCACCATCAAGCACACAAACACTTTGACAGAGTCTGAAATTACCACTTATCCAGCGCCCCAAAAATTTACCAATATTTACTTATTTAGACATAATTTCTTATCAGATTAAGAGATGACACCAACAGTCTTCAAACTCCATTTTATTTATCCATTGCACATGCATTTTTATTTTTTATACATGTAGTCCAATGGCTTGTTTGCATTATTTAGGCATTATTTTATTTATTTCTAAGGCAATAGATTTTTTTTGATTTTACCATCAGAGTGTAAAATTAATTTGAAAAGTTAAGGAATTTTACACAGGTCAACTACAGGCTACTGTGACTATATGTTTGATTTATTCAAGTGTTCGGAAGTGGCTTTTAATGGTGAGACTTTTGTAATCAGGATTGTAAAAAGGATTGTTTAGATTTATTGCCCAATGTATCGGTTATCGGCTTTCAAATATAAAGAATTATCGGTATCTGTCAAAATGTTCATATCGGTGTATCCCTATATTACCTTGGCATTCGATTATAGAAAACGACTTAATGCTACTGCTCGAGTGTTTCTAATACAGCAATTTGTAATTGTAATACATTTTTTTCCTATTTTGAAAAGTCTTAATGCTACACTCTAAAGAATTATGGGTTGTTTTAACTCAATTGTGGGTCAAATATGGACAAACCCAAACGTTGGATTAAAAATGAAATTTAAAATTGTAACCCAACGGCTGGGTTTGTCCATATTTGACCCAA